TGAAATACATAAATACTCTTACAACTACATCAAATAACAAAAGAAAAAAAATGTGTTTAATGTAGCCTTTCCTCAGTAATTTTAGTTCACGCCAATCACTATTACTATAACTCATAATCTAATAGAACTCATTTATATCCCTTTTACAAGGCATATGGTAGTTTATCTTGTGATTTGTAATTATTCTAAAGTTTGAGATTATGATGAGAAAAAAAGTCTGCAAATCATCTTGTTATGTCTAGTGACCAGTACTCTGTTCTTACACTTTTTAGTATGACAAGATAAATGACAACTTAAAAACTGGCAACGTGGCCCTCCCTGGTGGCCCAGTGGGTTAAAGCACAGCACTAAGAAGCTTAAGCCACTTCTGCATGAGTTCGATCCTGCCTGCCCCGGAGGAGAGCCACATGGCGTGGCAGACCTCTCCTGACCCGCCCACTGCTCCCCTCAGCAGTGTACTTCATCAATCTGCCTGTTCTGCTCCCCACTCTGTCTCTGGTGAATCCTCTCACCCTCCACATCTCTGGCCTGTACCCCAGTTCTGTATGAATAAATGAATCTTTAAAAAAAAAAAAAAAAACTGGCAATGCACCTGAAAAGACAATTCTCCTAAGAAGATATATAAATGGCCAAAAGCACATGAAAAGATGTTCGACATTATTGGTAGTCAGGGAATGAAAATCACACGACAATGAGATACCACTTCATAGCTACCCACGAGGACAGCTATCATCAAAAAGAGAACAAAAGCATAAACTGGTAAAGATGAGTAGGAACTGTAATCTTCATGCACTGCTGATGGAAATGTAAAATACTGAAGGCACTTGGGAAAAGTTGGACTTTTCCTCAAAAGGTTAAAACATTCCTCAGAAATGTCACTCCTATCTACACACTATTTGAGAGGTGAAAACAAATATCCAAACAGATGTTGCTACAAGTGTTCACAAGAGCATTATTCAGATCAGGCAAAAAGTAGACACCACCCAAATGTCCAGTCAACTGATAAATGAATGGCTAAAACATAGTATGTCCATCAATGCTCTATCACTGGCTCAAAAAAAAAAAAAGGAACAAAGTGCTGGTACACACTACAACATGGATGAATATTGCAAATATGCTAAGACATAAAAGTTCCCATATTAAATGATTACATTTATGACAAATGTCCAGAAATGGCAAACCCACAGAAATAAAAAGTAGATTAGTAGTGGCAAAGAGTTAGGTTACAAGAGGAATGGGAAATGACCGTTCGTGGGGTAATTGAAGTACTATGGAATTAAATAGTGATGTTTGTACAATCTTGTAAATAAAAATAACTGAATCACATATATCAAAAAGGATGAATTTTGTGGTATAAAAGTTATAGCTTAAATTTTTTAAATGTATGAACCACTATACTTGGGACATAAAACAAAATAAAAATGAAATAGTAGTGAATGAAAAGTAAACTAACTAGAATTATTCCAATGCAACGTACAAGTGTATGGAATAGTAAAAAGACTTAGACATTTGCAATAGTAAAATGACTTAGATATTTGCAATATTTTGGAGTGTAGTTATGCAAGTCTTTAAGTTAAAACTACAAACAATAACACTTTATTCACATCTACTCAATATCCAAATTCCAGTCAGCAGTTATGCAACAGAAAGGAACTAAGAATGGAAAAAAGGCGTTATCAAAACAATCATGCCCCTTTGCTGAGCTTTCAAAGACTGCAAAGCAAGAAAGAAAACCAAGGCCATTATTTCACATATACCTTTACTTGTCAAAGAAAATACTTTTTAACAATTTCCAAACACCAAATCTAGTCTCTAAGGATGAAAATTTGTCAATAATAAGATATTCAAAGAATTAATCTGCCACTGATATATTTCAATGAAATAAGATTCAGCCTTTAAATGAGTTTACTTAAGAGTGACATTGCTGTGGATGACAATATTGTTTCTGACAAAGTGATTTAAAAAACAATCTGTATCTTTACCATGGAGTCTACAACGGAGTCCTTAAATAAAGGAAACATTCCTCCCCAGAGGTAGAGGGAAATGCCATCACAAACACCAAGTTCGCTAACAAAGAAACTCTAGCTTACTTAGAGTCTCTATAAGCTTGCCTCAGAAAATTCTAATACGCACATCTTTGCAAACCTATCTCCCACAAGTTGTCTACAAGGTTCAAGGATGGCTATTTAAATAGACAACTTGTTGTACTTTCCACTTTTGTTAAATACAGGAATGCTTTTTCCTTATTTGTCAAAATGAAGCAAAAATTCACCATCTACTTTTTCCCCACCCCTTCTTCATGAAATCTTTCGTCATCTCAAGAACTTTTTTCACTTCTAAACAAACCTAATATAGTCTGCACAAATCACATGGCATATTTAAGCTTGTGTAAAAATTGAATATAGTATCTCTTCTCTAAGGAAGAAAAGTTTAAGTATAGCTCCTGTAAAATCTCAGTTTGCCTCTAGTGCTTATTCAAGGGAGACTGTTAGTAAATATTTAAATGAATTAAGTACTTAACTAACTGGCCTTTGTTCCTAAAACAGTACTAATACAAGTAGCTAAGTGATTAGGTAGATACTCAGAAATGGCAAGTCCCCAGTGACACTGAATACCTCATTTTCTCTCTGGAAGAAATTATAGACCATCTTGTGTAGAGACTTAAAGTTAAAAATGGCATTACTCAGGTGCTTTCTAGAACTGCTCCAGCAACAAGCACAGAAAGAATGAAGGCAGTTTGAAATAGCTCTCTGTGAGTCAAGAAGACTCATACTGCCATGCTTTTCAGCCAAGCTAGAGCTAAACTGAAACCACCACAACTTCTGCCTAAATGGGAAAGCATTTTAATGAATATTACAAGGACGAGGAGCAGTCAGGCAATAGGTTACATCACACCAAGCAGCAGAGAGAACTTCTATTTTCCTGGAATCTGAAATGATTATCCTAGTCCCAAAAGACACCACAATAATCACCTGGCTACCAAATCATAATCACTGTCTGAATCTGCTACTAACTCCAAACCACTAAAACCTAATCATGGACATATGACACCCCTACCTCTATTACTGACACTCCCTCATCTCCAAAAAAAGGTACAAGGGAGAAATAGATTTTGGAAATGAGTGAGAATTTCTTTTTAAATACAAAGATTGCTTCAAACTAAATATCATTTAGAAACCAAATGACCCTGAAGCATTTATCAGTCATCATAATCAAACAGAAGGTTAACTGTTCAGAACCAATCCCATTAAAATAAAAAAGTAATCACTACAACCACTAGTAACAAATAAGTTGCCTTTTAGATTGTATAAAGATCACTGCCAGTCCTTTTAAACTAGGAAGTTAACATTTCAACTGATTTATTTAGATCTTGCCTTAAAGAACAAAATTAGGTATAATAAAAGAGAAGATATGAGACCCAACTGATTTTAGTTGGGAAGCTATCAACTACATATTACTGTTCAGATTAAAATGCCACTCTGCACTCTGGACTCTAAATATTGATATCTACTGAACTTTACTACCTTTAATGTGGAAATTTGGAGTTAAAAGTATGCCTTAAGAAAAGTGATGGTCAGGTTAAAATTCTTCAAGAAAATGAAATCTAAATATATTCAACTCAGATATTTACACAAGAATTTTGTTAGTCATTAAAAAACCCTTGTCACACAGCAATAACTAACCACTAACACTAGCAATGACAGAGGCCTGAGGCAGAAGGCAAGGATTCAAGGCAAACAGAATTAGAATAAGATAAACAACTCATTAAAACCATCAGAACTAAAGCTACAGAAAGTTTATGGAATAAACGGGACTCAAGTTAATTTCAAAATCCATTAAAGACTAAAAAACCCTATTAAAAAAAAAACCCAGTCACTAAAAGTGAAACAAATACAACTAAAAATTCTTCAAAATAATTTCTAGATTTTATATTAACTCACAATGCCGAAAACTCATTAATTCCATCCCTCTCAGAACCCATACGCCTGCTATAAGCATGTGATGGCCACAAATGCAACATAATTGAAAAAAAAAAACATTTAACTTGATAAAACACTTTAGCAAACAGGATAGATTTGAAGGGATAAAAGGAAGAGTAAATGATACCAGAGCTGGACTTCTATTGACTGCAAGGAAATTTTAAAATAAGTCCATATGACAAATTACACCAAAAACCTGATTCATATCTTTACTATTTACAAAGGCATACATTTTAAAATGTACTTTTAACCTTTGGACTACCAAAGTGTTATTACCAAATACCTTAAAGCATTGTTGCCTACGTGAATTTTGATGTTAGTCTAAATTCTTAACGAAATTCACATTCATTTTCATAATGAAACTGTGCAGAAATGGAAAGGTTTATATTCTCTAAGTAAAGGTTACCTTATTTTTCACTTGTTTTAAAGTTTCAGTTTTGCTTTTTAATCTATTATAGGAAACATTCCTTGTGGGACATTGTAAAGGGCATAGCCTCCTGTCAAGCCAGAAAGCTCAAACACAAAGACATTGAGCTAAGCAAGTGCTGTAATTCTTCCAAACTGAGCCTCTCCACACCCCCTCCACCCTTCCCCCCAACAGATATGTCTATTAAATCAGTGTCTGTTCTCCCCCTCGCACAACAAAGAGAACTTCTCACCGCATGAAATTGCCGCTGAATGGACACCAGAAAGCAGGATTTGCATAATTCCTTCCAACGAAACGCTGTCGGGAAGGAGGGGACGAGGGGCCGAACCAACGGACAGAATCTCCTAGATTCTGCTGGGAAAGCTCTGGTTCCCAAGAAACTGCCCTCGGGGAGATGGAGGGCTAAAATTCTGGGCCTCCCGGAAGACTGGGCGTGGGGGAGCGCAGACGACGAGAGAGCATTTCCCCGCACAGCAGCGGCACCGAGGCAGAGATGGGCAAATAACAATGCTGGAGGACAGCAGAGTCAGACACAAGGATGGACCGGGGCGAGGGGCGGCGGGCGGAGCGGAGACACCACACGGGCCACTTACTTTTTGGAGGGGGGTTAAATATATGAGTTAAGCCCTTATGGTCCCGCCGGCCGCCGCACAGAGGGAAACGGGACCTTGGGAGAGAAAAACAGACAAAACACACAGTGTGAGAGGCGCAGCTCGGTCGCCCGGCCCCTCCCGGGGCGCCCCCGTCCGCACGCCCTCCTGCCCGCGGGGGAAAACGCCACCCGGGGCGGCCCGAGGTTCGGGGGCGGGGGACGGGGCTCTCAGCGCGGTGGCGGCTCCGGCAACCCTCCAGGAAGGGATAAGAGGGACCCCCGCTCCGGCTTCACGGACGGACCCGGTCCCACCCCGCTCCCCCCCGCCGCGCACACACCAAACACAAATACACACACACCGACCCGAGCGTCGAGGATTAACTCCCCGGCCGCCGCCGCCCGCAGAGGAAGTGCAGACGCTGCCCCCCGCGGCCATGACACCCCACTTGGCTTGGTCAGGCGGACCCGGGGCCTGTGACAGCTCCGGCTCCCTCCGCCCCCATCTCCACCTCACGC